ATTTTCATTAGGAAAACAAATGTAGGTTATAAATTGTAAAATTTCATATGTATTATTTGTGGGAAATGAGAGAAATATTATCAACATCTTATGCAGCATCATCTTCCTTGTGACGTGGAGATATATACGGATTTTGGAAATATTACAATAAAAAACTTTCAGGTCAAAAGATGTCTCTCCTGAGGCTGGAGAGATGGCTCAGTGGTTAAGAGCACTGGCTGTTCTTGTAGAAGACCCAGCACCCACATGACAGCTAACAACTGCCCAAAACTCCAGTTCCAGGGGATCTGATGGCCTCTTCTGTTCTCCACAGTGGGCATTACACAACACAGGTGCACTTACCTACATGCAGGCAGTACACACATACATATATTTAAAAAAGTAATAAATAAAATATTAAAAAAGATGCTTCTTCAGATAATGCTGTGCATCAGGTAAAGCATTTGAAATCAGTACATCTATTAAAATAGAGGTTTGTATAGAGAGATTCAGGTTTGCTTTGCTCAGCAGGGAACCTTGCTTCGGTGACAGAGAGACTGGGTGTTTGACAGTGTAACAACTCTGGGACTTGCGCTTTCCTTCACAACAAGCTGTTTATTACAAAATTCAGAGGGTTTTTATACATTACAATGAACTGGCAGTCATGTGTGGTTTGGCAGTTACATACAAACATTTAGGGCACAAAGAAACAGGACATATAGTCTTTTAGTTGGCACCAGCAGGATGCTTGAACTTTTACTCAAGGTTACCAATGCCTATCTGGTAATTTACTGGCCACATATTTTCTTTCTCAGGGCTAAAAGAATGGTAAAGTTTTAGCTTTTAGCTCAGGAGTGAACCTTTAACCTGGCCTAATCTCTTATCTAATGATAGCTGAGTTATTTGTTCAGGACAGGGAGGTGGACTGAGGGCTGTTGACCAAGATGCTTTCCCACAGAGTAAGGAGCCTAAACTTTTGATCTGGCCACTTTTCTCCAGCTAGCCATGAAGTTTTCTGCAAGAAAGGGATATCAGAGCTGCTGTTTTCAGTGCTCCTCCCTTTAGCAGAGAATGTAGCCTTGACTTAAAAAGTTTTACTCATCCTAGGGCATGCCATCTTGGTTTCCTACAGATTTTAAATTCACTTGCTTATACAAACCACTACGTTTTATGAGGAAAATGTGTTTGATACATATATGACCTTTAGATAATTCTAAGGTAAGTAAAGAAAAACTGTTTATGGACTCATAAAGCAATACTGACATGGAAGCTGTTGTCTAGCAATTTTGTCCAAGATAAAACCTTCCTTCTACCTTAGAGGGAAGCTGGGTAGACAATATTCTACAGAAAGGTAGACAACAAAATGTTCAAAAGGGAGGATGTTTTTAGGGTGTTCTATCCTGCAAGGAAGCTTGCTAAGCTCAGGAAGTAAGCACTTCAATAGATTCAAGAAGTCCATGAAACTGACTAGGTTCACTAGGCCACTCCATCCCTAAGGTTACATAAGCCCTAAAGACTTCAGAGAGACACTTAGGCCAGCCAAGGTGCAGGGAAGATGAAGATCAGCAGAGTTGCCTGGAAGAAGCAGAGATGACCTGGAAAGGACAATATCTAACCTGGTGAGCTGCCTTTAGGCTGTGAAGTGAGCTCTAGGTGTCCTTTCTTGAGTGGGGGTGGGCTTTTGGTGATGCAGCTGTCTTTGAGTAATGTCTGTTCTTGTAAGTAAACCCTCACTCATATTGCTGTAACACCAATAAGACTTACTGGTTCACCAAGCTGGATTTTGGTGGTATCCTTACTTTGGTTTACTGCTGGTCCTGTATCTGAGGTAAGAGATGTTTGTTCATGTCTCCTCAGGAAAGTGTTACACAATAAAAACATATACAAGAAAATATGCCCACTAGATTCTTGACACTTGTTAACTTTGGGGGCTAACTGTGCAGAAGAATACTCACACAGAGATTCCAAGAAGTAAAATTTCATGTGTATTTATTCAGATCTCTATTTAAATGTCTATGGCCTTATCACTCTGAATGTGTGTGATCTTGACAGATCTCTGTAAATATACTTGATATGTAAATATGTAAAGTGGGTATTATTAACAGTATTAATAAGTATTTATAGAACATTTTTCTAAATGCCAAAAAACATTCTAAGACAGTGGTTATCAACTTTAGTGTAAGAAAGAAATACAAAAACTTTAAAAGGAGATACTATTATTTTACTTGCTTTTGTCTGAGGAGAGACCAAATATTTAAGTATTGGCAGTTATACCAGATTAAAATACTTAAATGATCTCAAAAGTTTTTGCAGAAATTTTCATACTGTGATCATCTACATAATATTTATTCCCATTTCTGATATGATGATGTTGCTCAGTTGTGTTTATAAGTCACCCTGTACATTTTCCCTTTTTCTTTTCAATTAATTAAATCAGCTGAGGTCAGTGCTTTAACTCAGTTGAATTGCAACCTTCTGTTCCTGTATCAGGAAGCCTGAAGAAAAGTCATTTCAGGCATCATGGAGATTGAGAGGCTGTAACTTTGGAGCTAATGATGTCCTCTACTGTAAATGAGAGAGAGGGCTTGTTATCGGAAACAGTACTAAGTACTGTCACCATTCCATTACAGAATAGTGAATCAAAACAATAAAGAACTGTTTTTCTCCCTAGATATTTAGAAAGTTGATAAAAATAGAATTGAATAAACAAATTTTCTGCATTTATTTACTTTTTATTATTAGCTAGTATACTTAGCAAATGGTTTTGTTGCACCATATAGAGTGAATTGTACTTTGCTCATCTCTGCCTCCAAACTGAATAACAATCTAAATGTAATTCTTATCATTTAATCAGTTTTGATCTACAACAGGCATAGTGCTCTCTGATGCCATGTTTCTACTTCGATGTGATGGGAAATGTCCAGTTAATTATCTATGTTTCTCAAAATTTGATGTCTCCTAAAGCCAATAATAAGAGCAGTGTGTTTAATATTTGAAAATGATAATTAGTATTTGACCAAGCAATTCATGAAATACAGGATAAAAATAGACAAGTTCAAGAACAAGGATAAGGATAAAGATGGATAAGGATAAAGATGGGAGTATAACAATATGTTCCATCTATGAAATAGTAACTTGAATTTTGTGTCAAATTTTGAAACTTTAGCTTAATTATAATCTACTACAAAGGATTTTATACCATTGTCTTAGAATAAAATAAGGTTTATTAGCCAGGCGTGGTGGCACATGCCTTTAATTCCAGCACTTGGGAGGCAGAGGCAGGTGGATTTCTGTGAGTTCAAGGCCAGCCTGGTCTACATAGTGAGTTCCAGGACAGCTGGGACTACAGGGAGACCCTGTCTCAGAAAGACCAAAAAAAATGTTTATTTGTCTGCTGCTTAATTTCATTTAAGTATTTCCATAAGCTCTTTTCTTATAAATGGAAGAATCTCATCCTCATGTTTTTCTGAAAAGACTAAACTATGAACATGAATTTATTACCCCTAATGTTGTTGCCCTTCTAATGATGTCCAGTTCCGTGACTCTCATAAAAGGTTATGGTGCTGAAACTTTTCTAATAATGGTAAGGATTGTTGAAGGTGCATACATCTGAAGTACAAATACTTCAGCGCTAATTCTTACTCTAAAAATATATATCATATGGTGCCCATGCTTGTAGTCAGAAAACTTAGAAGACTGAGGCATGATGACTGTTCTTTTGAGATCAGCACTACATAATGTATTCAAGGATAGATGAGCTGTTCAGCAAGACCCAGTCTCCAACAAAAATAATCACCAAGCAACACATTTCAAAATAATTTAAAAAACCTTCCTCAAAAAGAAACACCAACACATGGAGAGAGGAGAGAGGAGAGAGGAGAGGAGAGGAGAGGAGAGGGGAGAGAGAGAGAGAGAGAGAGAGAGAGAGAGAGACTCATGTATATAATGTGTCTGGATATGTTGGAAAATACTTGTAATCCCAGTGTTCACGAATCTGAGACAAGAAAATTGCTAGAACCATGACTTCGAGAATATCCAGGTTCATCTAGAGATAGCCAATATAAAAACAAAAATAAACAGTTTTTATATATCAGGTATGTATAAGTATGTATGCAAGTGTATTTATGTATCATTTTATCTACTTACCTATTGAAGAATTGGTCTTTGTACTACATAATGATCATATTGTTTTTGTTGTTCTGATCTTCTGTATTTTGAAGGTGTCCCAGCAATACAGAATCACAAAATCTGACACTTGTCTCAGAATTCTATCTCATGGGATTCTCTGAGGACCCAGAACTTCAGCCTGTCCTCTTTGGACTGTTCCTGTCCATGTACTTGGTGTCTGTGCTTGGGAACCTGCTCATCATCCTGGCTGTCAGCTCTGATTCCCACCTCCACACCCCCATGTACTTTTTCCTCTCCAACCTGTCCTGGGCTGACATTGGCTTCATCTCCACCACCATTCCAAATTTGATTGTGAACATCCAAATTCACAGCAGAGTCATCTCTTATGTGGGCTGTCTCACTCAGATGTCACTTTTTCTCACTTTTGGAGGTATGGATAGAATGCTTTTGACTGTGATGGCCTATGACCGATTTGTGGCCATCTGCCATCCCTTGAATTATCACGTCATTATGAACCCTCGTCTTTGTGTCACTTTCCTTCTGGTGTCTTTTTTCTTTAGCTTTGTGGAAACCCAGCTGCATCTCTTGGCTGCCTTACAGATGACCAATTTCAAGGATGCCAAAATTGCTAACTTCTTCTGTGACCCTTCTAAGGTCCTTAATCTTTCCTGTTCTGACACCTTCACAAATAACATAATTCAATATTTGGTTGCTACCATGTATGGTATTTTTCCCATCTTAGGAATCCTTTTCTCTTACTATAAAATTCTTTCCTCCATTTTGAGCATGCCATCCTCAGGTGGTAGGTATAAAGCCTTCTCTACCTGTGGATCTCACCTCTCAGTTGTTTTCATATTTTTAGGAACAGGGATTTGCGTGTATATTGACTCAGTTCTTTCAGATTCTTCCAGAAACAATGCTGTGTCCTCATTGATGTACTCTGTGGTCACGCCTATCTTGAACCCCTTTATCTACAGCATGAGGAACAGAGACATCAAAAGTGCCCTGAAAATGATATATGGTAGAATAGTTTAATCTCAGGATATATGTTATCCATTTCTAATATAGTTTTGAAAAGGAAATGAAAATCAATATGCATATCTAAATGGAATCAAAGACAAAAATTACATAATCATCTCGGTAGATTCCGAAAAGACCTTTGACAAAATCCAACATGCATTTAAGTTAAAAGTCCAAAACAGAATTGGACTGCTGGGGACATACCTCAACATAATTAAAGCTAAAAGCAAAATATCTATGGTCAACATCATTGTAAATGGAGGAAAAAGTGGAAACATTCCCATTAACATTAGGAAGCAAACTATACTTCCAACTATCTCCACTTTTTTATAATACAGTCCTTGAAGCTTTTGCTAGAGCAATAAGACAAGAGAATGAAATTAATGGCACACTAATTGGAAAAGAAGAGGTCAAGATATCCCTGTTTATAGATGACCGATATTATACATAAGGAATCCCCAAAATTCCACTAATAACTCCTAAAATTTATTAACACATTCAGCAAAGTGGCAGGTCACAAAATTAATCCACAAAACTCAGTAGCCTTTCTATATGCCAATAACAAGCAAATGGAGAAAGAGTACATGGAAACGTGCATATTCATAATATACTCAAAAAATACCTAGGAATAAACTGGATCCAAGCCATTAAAGATCTCTTCAAAGAAAATTTTAAATATTTGAAGAAAGAGATTGAGGAAGAAAACAGGAAATGGAAGGACCTTCCATGCTCATGGACTGGAAGAATTAATATTATGAAAATGATGATCCTACCAAATGTAATATATAGACTTAATGCAATCCCAATCAAAATCCCTGTAACATTCTGCAAAGAATTAGAAAAAAATAAAAAAATTCATATGGAATCACGAAAGACCCAAGATAGCTAAAACAATCCTGAGCACAAAGAGCAACCCTGGGGGGCATCACCATACCAGGTCTCAAATTATATTACAGATCTATTGTCATAAAAACAGCATGGTATTGGCACAAAAATAGACACATAGATCAATGCAACATAGCTGAAGACCCAAACATGGGTACATGCAATATCAGCCACCTGATATGTGACAAAGGGGCCAAGAACACACAATGAAGTAAAGACAGCATCTTCACCAAGTGGTTCTGGCAAAACAGGATCTCTACCTGAAGAATGAAACTAGACTCCTTAGCCTTGCACAAAAACCAATTCTGAATAACCAAAGACCTCAAAGACCTCTGAAGCTGTTAGAAGGAAACATTGGCAGTAACCTGTAGGAAACCAGTATGCCAGGCCCCAGGGTGAGGTGAGCCTAAAACTTATAGGTCCAGGCTGCATTCTCTGCTAATAGGGAGGGGCACTGAAAACAGTGGCTCTGATAATCCCTGCCTTGCAGAACACCTCTAGACTGGCAGAAGGAAGTGGCCTGGTCATAAAAGTGCAAGCTCCCTGTTCTGTGGGAAAGCATCTTGGTCAACAACCCTTAGCTCATCTCCTTATCCTGAGCAAATAATTCAGCTATACATGGCTAAGAGATTAGGCCAGGGTAAAGGTTTACTCCTGAACTAAAAGCTACAAGTCCACCATGCTTTTAGCTCTAAGAAAGAAAACATTGTGGCCAATAAATTATCAGGTGGACATTGATAACCCTGAGTAAAAGTTTAAGAATCCTTCTGGTGCCAACTAACTAAATGTCCTGTTTCTTTGTACTGTAAATCTTTGTATGTGACTGTCATATCCCACGTGACTGCTAGTTCCTTGGGATGTATAAAAACCATCTGAATTTTAAAATAAATTGGCCTGTTGGGGAGACACAGGTCCCAGAGTTTATGACGCTGTCATTGATCAGACCCTCTGCCCCGAAGCCAGTAGGTTCCCACTATGCAAAGCAAGCCTGAGTCCCATCAGTAACCTATTAGATATAAGCATAGGAAGAGACTTTCTAAGTCAGACATCAATTGCTTTGGAATTAAGGTAAAAAATCAACTTAATTAAACAGAAAAGCTCCTGTACAGCAAAAGAAACAACCAAGAAAGGGAAGAGAAAATCCACTGAGTGGGAGAAAATCTTCTTGGTCCTCTGTTGCAGGAGGGATCTTCATTAATGAGAATTGAGAGATTCATTAGTGTTGTCTTCTTTACCCCTGTTCTATGTTCTATGCCCCTTAAGTGTAGAGGTTTCATTGTAGATATGTCACTTAGATGAGGGTAATTCACAGACAGTGTCTGTGTGTGAACAATTGGTAATAGTCTTTGGTGCAAAATAAACTTCTTCGATGAGTGGTGACTGGGATAATTGTCTGCAAATATAAGGATATATATTTTTACATAGTAAGAAATAACATTAGTCTAGAGATGTAACAGTCTTGGAGTTTTCTCTAAGATCTATAACCTCTCCAGCCAGGTGTATTTGTTATGTTTACAGTGCCACAACTGAGTTTCCTCCCATTGAGTTCTCCCTATGTTTCTATCTTTTTAAATAATTTAAGTAGTATTTATAGATCTTCTTTAAATGTCTGGTAGACTTCTGCTGTGAATCCATCTGCCCCTAGCCGCTTTTTTAGTTGGGAGGTTTTATATTACTGTTTCAATTTCCTTATATGTTATGGGTCTGTTTAAACTGCTGATCTCTTCTTGGTTTAACTTTGGTGGATCCCATGATTTTAGATATTTCACCCATTTCTTTTAGATTTTCAAATTTAATAGAGTGTAGGTTTTTAAGTATTCTCTTATAATGTTCTGGATCTTTGGAGTGTCTGCTGTGATGTTTCCCCTTCATCTCTGATTTTGTTGATTTGTATTTGCTCTTTCTTTCTCTTGGATAACTCAGCCAAGGGTCTGTCTCTCTTGTTTAGCTTTTCAAATCACCAGCTCTTAAATTCATTGATTATTTGTATTGTTTTCTTTGTTTCTATTTCATTAATTTATGCTCTGATTTTTGTTATTTCTTTTCCTCTGCTGGGTTTGGGTTTCATTTGTTCTTGCCTTTACAGAATCCTGATGTGCAATGTTAATTCATTTATTTGTGCTGTCTCTGATTTTTATTTTTGTCTTTAGACAGGGTCTCCTTGTAGCCCCAGCTGTCCTGGAACTCACTGTGTATACCAGGCTGGCCTCGAACTCACAAAGATCCACCTGCCTCTGCCTTCCAAGTGCTGGTATTAAAGGCATGCGCCACCACACCTGGCTTGTTTCTGATCTTTTAGTGTAGGCACTTACAGCTATAAACTTCCCTCTTAGGGCTGCTTTTAAAGTGTCCCTTGGTTTTGTTGTGTTGTATTGTTCTTTTCATTTACTTCCAGGAATTCTTTTATTTCTTTCTTAATTTCTCCTTTGACCCACTCATCATTCAGGAGTGTGTTGTTTAATCTCCATGAGTTTGTGTATTTTCTAGGTCTTCTTCCAGTGTTGATTTTAAGCTTTATTGCATTGTGATCTGATAAATGCATGGAATCATTTCAGTTTTTTGTATTTGTTGAGGTTTGTTTTGTGCCCCAGCATGTGGACAGTTTTTGAGAAATTTCCATGGAGTGCTGAATAGAAAGTGTACTCTTTGGTGCTTAGGTGGTATATTTGGAAGATTTCTGTTAGGTCCATTTGTCATACGGTGTCATTTAAGTCTGTTTATTCTTTGTCTGGTTAACCTGTCTAATGAAGACAGTGGGGTATTGAAGTCCCCTACTCTTACTGAGTTGGGATCAATCTGGTCTTAAAGTCCTGTAGTGTTGTTTTTATGAATTTTGGTGCACCAGAATTTGGTGCATATGTATTAAGGATTATAATATCTTCTTTCAAGATTGGAGTATCTCCTTGGTTAATTGTTCCTTCGTTCAGAATTAAGTGACCCTCTTTATCTCTTCTGATTAGTTTTAGCATGAAGCCTATTTTTCTAGATATTAGAATTTCAACCCCTGCTTGTTTCTTAGTGCCTTTTGCTTGAAATATTCATTTCCATCCTTTCACTTTAAGGTGTAACTTAGTTTTATGAAGAACATCTACACTGATTTCCATAGAGGCTGTCCTAGTTTATACTCCCACCATAAAAAGCAATGTTTGTCATTTCCCCCAAATCCTCAACAAGATTTGGTGTCATTTGTTTTATTCTTTAAATAATTTTTTCATTAGTTTAATCATTTTTTGTCAGTGTGCGAGTGTGTGTTTGTGTGATATATATAATATACATATATATGTATTCCAGGAATACTTTTTATTTCTTTCTTGGTTTCTCCTTTGACACACTCATCATTCAGGAATATATATATATATATATAGTCATGGGGAAGTGAGAAGACAGCTTGGGAGAGTGGTGTTTTATCTACACTGCTGTTTCAATGATTCTTCACAAAACAACTTGGTAGTTCATAATATAGTTATCTACTTCGTGTCTGTCTAAACAGATGTTCCTTCTTATTTTTGATGTATGTGTGTTGTGCACCCTGACTGATGATTTATTTCTGGTTTGTGGCCTCCTGTTATCCTTTGAATTGTTCTATAATGAACACCCAATTCATGGTATCTGAGGTTCTGTGTATTTTTTAAATCTCTGCTTCCCAATTTGATTACTTATAGTTTGCCAACTTTACTGATCTAGAAAATTCTATTTTTTTCTGTGACCCTTCTTAGGACCTCAATTATGTTCTTTTTTGAGCAATTATTTCAATGGCATTGGTAGATATTTTCCTGGTGGCATATTTTCCTCCAATTTCTGAACATTTTTCTATTATTCTAAAGTGTTTTCATCTATACTAATAATTCTAAAATCATAGACGATATAACGTGAATCACAGAGTAGTCTGAGGACACATGGAATTGATTTGTAAAATAATATTGAAAAAGCAATAAAATTATCCTTTAGACTTATAAATTCTGCCTTTTGTCACATTATTTTTATAATTACATGGCTTTAATTCCTTGGGATTTTTCTCAGTTTAATTCTGAGTGCCAGGATTGAATAGTGGAATTAATGAAAATTTACAAAATGAATATTGGAACCAGGAAGGGAATGGGAGGAGAAGGTATTTCACAAAGTAGGAGGCA